CTTGAAATGACGCCGGACGTGTAGGTAGATGAGGGTGTAAGAGGTGACAATGATGATCAGTGGGATGGGATAGCCGAGGAAGGTTTGGATCTTCTCGAAGGTCTTGGCCTTGCGATGGGTGTCCAGGTCGCTGCAGGTGTGATGCTGCTCGTCGTAGCCGAAGCCGCCGACGCCACAGAGAGGTGGCACGACCATTATGGCGATGGCAACGAACCACAAAACTGCCACGTTGATGGCCAAGTTGCGCCTTGTGTAGAGACTATGATAGAGGGTCATCGGGCGCTTGATGAGGATCAGCCTGTTGAGAGCGATGGAGGCCAGGTTGTAGAGACTAGCCCAGGAGCTGATGTACAGAAGCATGCCGGCCAGGTAGCACGGTGTCTCGGTGGACCACGGCCAAGTGTCTCCTGGGCTGAGCAGGCCGACGGCGCTCATGGGTAGCGCCAGGCCGGTCAACAGGTCGGCCACGCTGAGACTGACCACGAAGACGTTGGTGGACGTGCGGAGCTTCCTGCTGAACACCACGGCGAGGATGACCATGGTGTTACCGATGATATCAATCAGGGCGATCAGGAGCCACAGTACGGCGATTACTACCCTCTCTTGGTAGGTCTGTAGGGATTTACTCATCGGCCCTGCTTCAGTACTCGCTGCCGTGAAGGTTGAGTTGTCCATCCAGGGAACTGCCGACGAAGATTCGGCAACACCTGCAGTTGAAGTATCGTTGGAAAATACCATCGTTGCGTCGCCCATTTTGCTCCTTGTTTTTGGATGTTATACGGAGCTGTGAGAATAGAGAGTTAGGTTTAGGGAATGGAGTTTCAGGGTTACACTACAGTGTTTACACAACATGTTGTGATAACGCGATGCAGACTTTCGGAAAAGTGTCCCAGTTTAGACATTTGCAGTCAGTGGCGTATCCAGCTTTTGATGTCGGGAAGATGGGGGGGGGGGGGGGGCAACCGCACTCGCACATACGCGCAAAAATGTAGCCATGTTCGTTTCTCCGGACATATGCTGATTTTCATGGCGCATTATAATGGTTTTGGAGCTTGTTTTTTTTTCTTCATGTCAGAACTCTCTAACCATGAGTAGAAATAGTTACTGAAAAAAAGGTATTCCCAAATATCCACCGGAGGGGGGACCCCTCCCCCCCCCCCGCCCTCTGGATACACCACTGTTTGCAGTTTAATATTAAATATCACGCGAAAGATGCTAATGTGTTTGTTTCACCTGTGTCATGCCTAATAGCATTTTTTCACATTTGGCATGATCTACTTGGAAAAAAAAACAAATTAGGTGAGAGCCTCGATACGATTTCTATTGCATTGAGATTGGATTACATTTCATGTTTTGTATCTTTTACCACGACCAATCAAACAAACAAACAAACATCCGCCAACTCGCTTCGATTACTATAGTCAAGTTGTATGACGTTTCTTTGGGGTTTGAAAGTCGCAAAGGAATCGTTTCACACACACCGATCAAGTTTCCATTGTTATACACAATAGGCAAAATTAATCCCACCAAAACTCGGGAGACGGAACCTCTTCGAATGTCACTGTACAGTTGCAAAACATTGTTTATGGCCGAAATTGCAGCACTCCCATTTTGGGGAACAATGTTCGTATTTATACTCTCGCGCTGTTCCAATAAGAAATGGTAACATGACCGTTAATAAACTTGGGTATAACATTACATGCAGTGATATATTTTCTGATTAGTTGGTTAATTCAGGTAAAATATATGACAATTTTGGGGGAGAATTTGTCAATACATATATAGGCAGTTCATACCTGCATATACAGGCAGTTCATACGCCAGGCGCGGTTCTACGGGGGGCAAGGGGGGGGCTGTAGCCCCCCAAAAATTTTGTCTAGCCCCCCCAAAAATAAATTCCGTAAAAAAAAAATTTGCATTAGCAAAAAGAAGGATTGTGATGTACATGCGAACGGTCTCCCCTAAAGAAGACATATCCGTCGACAAGGGTGCATTAGTTAATATAGTGTGAATGATTTTAGGATTTTATTCCCCCCCCCCCCACCTATTGATTTTCGGAGGCCTAAGTGTCTGGAAAAAACCGGTCAACATTTCAGCACACCTCCTTGAAAAAATTCTGGATCCACCGTGCTAGCCCCCCCCCCCCCCCACAAATATTTGTTCTAGAACCGCGCCTGTCATACGCTGACTGATATCGGGCAACATACCAACCCATTCGCCTAAAACGTTTTTGAGTGAGGAAAACAAAGTGTTCCTTGTCAATCATTTCTTTGAAGGTATCGAAGGTATCATTTCTATAAGGTAGCCATTCAACAACGCCTCGTTAATAGTTACTTTAACAAATGCAGACCTAAAGTAAACTAAAACAAACATGGTTTGACTAAAATTTCGTTTAAAAAGTTGCACACTTACCGAGTTTTAGAACCAGACAACAAGATGTAGTCTCTGTTTCAGATAAAGCTTTTGAAATTACCAAGCAAAAGTCCCAAAATGTGGAAAGAAGGTGTCAGCGCTTATTCTTCCACTAAGCCACTTGTGTCTTTAGTAGTGTGTTTAGATGTAATAATGCGTTGTGAAGAGATGATTTCTTTTTTAACGACTACCATAAGGCAAGCGCTGTGTACAGAGCGGATATGCCCGTGATCTTGCGGCAACCAGGAAGGCGGAACAGCGCCCCGTGCTCATTGGATCATTTCGGCTGACTCTTATTCTTGGCAATGGCATTGCTCAGTCACACTGCGCGGTTGGATTGGGCGGTATATTGGGCTCTCGAGATCGCCCAACCTTCCTCTGGTTTTCGTCCAATCATTGGACGCAATTTCAATTCAATGCAATGTATTTTTCTTGATTGATCGTCTGCACAAAGAATGTTTTATTTTTGTTCAATTAAAATTGACTTGTGTTCGGATTGATTTGTTTCGCGGTAAATACACTGTATTTTCTTTAAATCATATTCAAATTATTCTTGAACAACTGCCGTCAAGTTTCTAAACATGTCGTGTCATATATCACGACCAATCATTTGACGAAATTTCAATTCAATGCAATGTGTTTTTCTTGATTTATCTCTCCACAAATGCAATGTGTGTGTTTTTTTTTTTAGTTATTGTGTTTTATTTTTGTTCAAATGAATTGACTTGTGTTCGGATTGATTTTTTTTTTTGCGATTAATACACTGTATTTTCTTTAATTCACATTATATTGATTCTTCAACGATTCCCGTCAGTTTCTAAACATGTCGTGTCATATATCACGAACAATCATTGGACGAAATTTGCAATGTGTTTTTCTTGATTTATCGTCTCCACAAAGAACGTTTAAAAAAACAAACATTTTTTAAAAACTAAATCAACTTGATAATTGTGGTAACTCTTCGTTTTTGGCAAAACCCTCAGATCTTATATTTCCTCCAAATTTTCCTGCGTAATCGGCTTTTATTCATTATGTATCAATGATTATATTCAAAGTTCAAAACGATAGCGATTATTATTTTTACAATGTCATACGTAATCGCTCAAATCATATATACAATCGATCGTGATAATCAGGTGTAAAAGCCTTTCCAAATTAACATGCACGACAAAATGATAACTGCATCTGACTTTACATTCTTGCATAATAAACTCTAGTATTAAACATCTACAAATGTACACATTTTGAGCAGTATATGATTATCTGGGGTATTGTTCAATGGCTCAATATATAGGTGCAACGGCTCAAGAATATTACAAACCAACGTCAATATCTGCCCTCACAGGCATATCATACACTCCTGGGAGACAATTTTTGGCAAAATGTCTTGCCTATAAATTTCTCAAGTTATGTCTATGTTAATAAATAGAACGCAAAATTCAGCTGTTCACCACTGATCATATACCATTCTACGACTGATGAATACCCATTAAATACAATGAAACATAGACAATTTCCCACCTCCACGAAAAAAACCCAAAACTTGCAAAGGTAATCCATACGTGTATATGTGGGTCCTATATAGCTCTATGGGTAAACAGACAACAATCGCCATCAATATTTCAGAATAAAAAAAATGACTTGTTCCTCATATTCAAATCATAAAATCGGACAGTAAACTGTACAAATAAGGTTTCACCGTTTCAGCCTTGACTCAAATGAATGAACACTCATTTGCATTTGAATGCCAGTGTGTAATCTGTAATTCTCAACTAAGCTCAATAGCTGCTTACAATGGCATTACGTGCAAGCTATGGAATTAGGTTCTTTTGTTATATAAAACATACATAATTTCTGATATAAAACATGTATTGATTTCAGTATTTCTGTAGGGGAAGTGCAACTGCGTATTTTACGCAATCTAGCACGCATTGCAAGTTGATGCTATAATGCAAGTTGATGCTCAAAAAGCCGATGCACGTGGATGGTCTATAGGAAATGACGTCATTTGAACGAGACCTATAGAGAGGAGACAATGAGAAGAAACAGTTTTAGAGGTGGGAGGAAAAGCCCAGAAGAATATTCTGGGGAAAACCCACAGAATCAGGTAGTGACTGAAAACCCAATCCACATATTGGCCCAGGCGGGATTCGAATCGGGTCACAGCGGTGGAAGGCGGGGAAAGTACCGCTACGCCAACCTGAATTAAGGGTCAGACCTGTAAATGGGCCCAGAATTGCCGACGCGGGCCAAATCACAATTTGTGCAATTTGTAAAACAAAAAGATGCATACGCGCAGAGGGCTGGTGAACCAACCATTTGCTTCAAATGGGTGCCGGCTACCAGTCCCCAATGTTTGAGGGGGCGGGAAACAGTCATTGAAGAACGGTTCTTGTGGATAGCATCGACGGGCGGTTTTTGTAGCCCAACCTCGCTACGAAAGTCCGCCAGGCCCCCTGATGCATGATTGAGTTGGATAATTGTATACCTTGCTATTGGGAGTATTATCAACTTGACCTCACAGATCGCTGGGAAAACTCCCTGTCATAATTTCAGGTATATATTTTTATGGACCATACTTCCTGCATACAGACTACGTTCTTTCCTTTGTCAGACTTCGGCCCTATTGTTATTGTATAATAGTCACAGGCCAAATGCGACACAATGCCTCGAGGGGGAAGTCTCATCTTTGTTTTGGATGACAAAATAAAAGAGTATCTGACCCAGATCTTATATAGGTCACACATACGGAAATGCTGTTCATAATTACACACTCGTAAACGCTAGGCCGGCCAACTTTGGGGATCCGTGTTTATTAAAGGAAAAGGAAATTGTGACATAGTTGTGGTGTTTCCACTTGAAACAAAATCACGACAAAAAAAATACATCAACTTGATTATTGTGATAACTGTACGTTTTTGGCAAAACCCTCAGATCTTATATTTCCTCATTGAATTTTCCTGCGTAATCGGCTTTTAATCATTATGTATCAATATTATAGTTATTCAAAGTAGCAAAACGATAGCGATTTTTACAATGTTATACATAATCGTTCAATTCATTTAATACAATCGATCGTGATAATCAGGTGTAAAAAGCCTTGCCAAATTAACATGCACGACAAAATGATAACTGCAGCTGACTTTACAATCTTGCATAATAAACTCTAGTATTAAACATTTACAAATGTACACATTTTATTGACTAGTAACTGTGAACTTATGTCTAAGTTATGTCTATTTTAGTAAGCAGAACACAACATTTAGCAGTTCACCACTGATCAAATACCATTTTACGACTGATGAATACCCATTAAATACAATGAAACATAGACGTTTTCCCACCTCCACGAAAAAAACCCAAAACTTGCAAAGGTCAACCATAATTAAAGTGGGTCCTGTATAGCTCCATGGGTAAACAGACAAAAATCGCCATCAATATTTCAGAATAAAAAAAATGACTTCATATTTATATTCAAATCATAAAATCGGAAAGTAAACTGTACAAATGACGTTTCAGCCTTGACTCAAATGAATGAACACTCATTTGCATTTGAGTGCCTGTGTGTAATCTCTCATTCTCAACTAAGCTCAATATCTGCTTCCAATGATGGCATTACGTGGAAAGCTATGAAAATAGGTTCTTTTAGTATATAAAACATACATAATTCTGATATATAAACATAGATCGATTTCAGTATTTTCTTTCTTCAGATGAGTGGAAGAACATGCTCTTTTAAGACATACTTCATTGGTCAATCAAATTCGATAGCTTTTAAGAGAAAACAAAGTAATCCAGGTCACTTTCTGTTTGACTCGCCGTGTATTTAATATGCTCTTTACCTGTTTTTTTACACGACCCGTGGGCAGTTGTATGGGTTCGAAATCTAAGGATAGATACAGGAACTTTTTTTTTTTTATTCCCAAAGGAACTACCCTGCAGGCTCTATTTTCACAGTCCAACATTCATTTTGTATTTACCCAACGTATGGAGTAGAACATTCGATGGGAATAATTATTAAAACACATTTCCTGGTTTAATGTTGCAGGAAGTCGTGTCACGATTTACTACCGGTATGTCGTTTTGTTGTGTCTTCCATGCATTTGCGGGTATTTGTCATGTGCACCGACCTTCTTCGAAATTTTAACCGAGGAGACCAAAACGAAACTTCCGATTTAGTCCCTTCAGTGGACCGTTTGGGAGTTTCATCTATATACAAGGTACAGGGTATACAAGGTCAATAGCGACCGAGAAAGGGCGGTAACTGAAACTAGAACTCTGTTACTATATAATCAGAGACAATTGACTATTGATTGTCTTCAAAAAAGGAACTGGTTCGAAACTCTCAACGCCAGCAAGCTCCGTGTTATGGGACCGACAAAAATCGAATCGGTTGTCCGACCGATCGTTGTAATTTAAGAATATCGCATCCTTCGGTTTAGTTAGGTTTGTCGCGTGGCATATAATTAAGTCATGGGGTGCATCACGAAGTGACGCATAGGATAGATTTTGCAGCACCACTAAGAGACCGACGAAGTGAAGCAAGCATCTGTAAACGCGTGGCATGAGACACGTGACAGATATTTGCCCTCAAAGCTTTATAACCTGTGATCAGAAAAAAAAATAATGATAAACTTCCAAGATGGCGGTATACTTGAATGAGTCATGACACACGCCTGATTTAATAGCTGATTTAATCATCGTGTATAGGCCTATGTATTAAAACATTGAGTACATCCTCATGTTGATATAGCTACATTAAGTGCTGACTGGTAAAGTTAGTTTGAATCCAAGGTACATTAAGGGGAATTCGTGCAAAAGTGCATTCTAACATAACGACTTGTGCCTGTTTCAGATATGTTACATAATGCAGTTACGCTTTGTAACAGCAGGTCATCAGGGCTTTCAACGCGTCAGAAGGCTCTTCAATCTGCGAGTATTTGCACTGCAACATCTGGCGCAAAACCTTCTTGAACTGTGGATGCTTGGACGCGTAGATGATCGGGTTGACGCAGCTGTTGCAGGTGAAGACCACGCCCAGGAACAACAGGTAGCGGTCGGTATTGGGGATGAAGAGTGCCACGCAATACGGAGTGATGCAGACGAAAAAGGCACAGACGGCCATGAAGAGATTCTTGGTGATCTGGAGCTGCTGGCGGTAGGCTCGACCCTGTTGAGAGGTCTTCGAGACAGCCGCGTTGTCGGATACCTGGAAGCGGCTTGAGCTAGAGACCGGGCCTGTGTCGCTGGTGCTGATGCCACCACGCAAGGACCTCTGGGCCTTGAAATGACGCCGGACGTGTAGGTAGATGAGGGTGTAAGAGGTGACAATGATGATCAGTGGGATGGGATAGCCGAGGAAGGTTTGGATCTTCTCGAAGGTCTTGGCCTTGCGATGGGTGTCCAGGTCGCTGCAGGTGTGATGCTGCTCGTCGTAGCCGAAGCCGCCGACGCCACAGAGAGGTGGCACGACCATTATGGCGATGGCAACGAACCACAAAACTGCCACGTTGATGGCCAAGTTGCGCCTTGTGTAGAGACTATGATAGAGGGTCATCGGGCGCTTGATGAGGATCAGCCTGTTGAGAGCGATGGAGGCCAGGTTGTAGAGACTAGCCCAGGAGCTGATGTACAGAAGCATGCCGGCCAGGTAGCACGGTGTCTCGGTGGACCACGGCCAAGTGTCTCCTGGGCTGAGCAGGCCGACGGCGCTCATGGGTAGCGCCAGGCCGGTCAACAGGTCGGCCACGCTGAGACTGACCACGAAGACGTTGGTGGACGTGCGGAGCTTCCTGCTGAACACCACGGCGAGGATGACCATGGTGTTACCGATGATATCAATCAGGGCGATCAGGAGCCACAGTACGGCGATTACTACCCTCTCTTGGTAGGTCTGTAGGGATTTACTCATCGGCCCTGCTTCAGTACTCGCTGCCGTGAAGGTTGAGTTGTCCATCCAGGGAACTGCCGACGAAGATTCGGCAACACCTGCAGTTGAAGTATCGTTGGAAAATACCATCGTTGCGTCGCCCATTTTGCTCCTTGTTTTTGGATGTTATACGGAGCTGTGAGAATAGAGAGTTAGGTTTAGGGAATGGAGTTTCAGGGTTACACTACAGTGTTTACACAACATGTTGTGATAACGCGATGCAGACTTTCGGAAAAGTGTCCCAGTTTAGACATTTGCAGTCAGTGGCGTATCCAGCTTTTGATGTCGGGAAGATGGGGGGGGGGGGGGGGGCAACCGCACTCGCACATACGCGCAAAAATGTAGCCATGTTCGTTTCTCCGGACATATGCTGATTTTCATGGCGCATTATAATGGTTTTGGAGCTTGTTTTTTTTTCTTCATGTCAGAACTCTCTAACCATGAGTAGAAATAGTTACTGAAAAAAAGGTATTCCCAAATATCCACCGGAGGGGGGACCCCTCCCCCCCCCCCGCCCTCTGGATACACCACTGTTTGCAGTTTAATATTAAATATCACGCGAAAGATGCTAATGTGTTTGTTTCACCTGTGTCATGCCTAATAGCATTTTTTCACATTTGGCATGATCTACTTGGAAAAAAAAACAAATTAGGTGAGAGCCTCGATACGATTTCTATTGCATTGAGATTGGATTACATTTCATGTTTTGTATCTTTTACCACGACCAATCAAACAAACAAACAAACATCCGCCAACTCGCTTCGATTACTATAGTCAAGTTGTATGACGTTTCTTTGGGGTTTGAAAGTCGCAAAGGAATCGTTTCACACACACCGATCAAGTTTCCATTGTTATACACAATAGGCAAAATTAATCCCACCAAAACTCGGGAGACGGAACCTCTTCGAATGTCACTGTACAGTTGCAAAACATTGTTTATGGCCGAAATTGCAGCACTCCCATTTTGGGGAACAATGTTCGTATTTATACTCTCGCGCTGTTCCAATAAGAAATGGTAACATGACCGTTCATAAACTTGGGTATAACATTACATGCAGTGATATATTTTCTGATTAGTTGGTTAATTCAGGTAAAATATATGACAATTTTGGGGAGAATTTGTCAATACATATATAGGCAGTTCATACCTGCATATACAGGCAGTTCATACGCCAGGCGCGGTTCTACGGGGGGCAAGGGGGGGCTGTAGCCCCCCAAAAATTTTGTCTAGCCCCCCCAAAAATAAATTCCGTAAAAAAAAAATTGCATTAGCAAAAAGAAGGATTGTGATGTACATGCGAACGGTCTCCCCTAAAGAAGACATATCCGTCGACAAGGGTGCATTAGTTAATATAGTGTGAATGATTTTAGGATTTTATTCCCCCCCCCCCCCCCACCTATTGATTTTCGGAGGCCTAAGTGTCTGGAAAAAACCGGTCAACATTTCAGCACACCTCCTTGAAAAAATTCTGGATCCACCGTGCTAGCCCCCCCCCCCCCCCCCCCCACAAATATTTGTTCTAGAACCGCGCCTGTCATACGCTGACTGATATCGGGCAACATACCAACCCATTCGCCTAAAACGTTTTTGAGTGAGGAAAACAAAGTGTTCCTTGTCAATCATTTCTTTGAAGGTATCGAAGGTATCATTTCTATAAGGTAGCCATTCAACAACGCCTCGTTAATAGTTACTTTAACAAATGCAGACCTAAAGTAAACTAAAACAAACATGGTTTGACTAAAATTTCGTTTAAAAAGTTGCACACTTACCGAGTTTTAGAACCAGACAACAAGATGTAGTCTCTGTTTCAGATAAAGCTTTTGAAATTACCAAGCAAAAGTCCCAAAATGTGGAAAGAAGGTGTCAGCGCTTATTCTTCCACTAAGCCACTTGTGTCTTTAGTAGTGTGTTTAGATGTAATAATGCGTTGTGAAGAGATGATTTCTTTTTTAACGACTACCATAAGGCAAGCGCTGTGTACAGAGCGGATATGCCCGTGATCTTGCGGCAACCAGGAAGGCGGAACAGCGCCCCGTGCTCATTGGATCATTTCGGCTGACTCTTATTCTTGGCAATGGCATTGCTCAGTCACACTGCGCGGTTGGATTGGGCGGTATATTGGGCTCTCGAGATCGCCCAACCTTCCTCTGGTTTTCGTCCAATCATTGGACGCAATTTCAATTCAATGCAATGTATTTTTCTTGATTGATCGTCTGCACAAAGAATGTTTTATTTTTGTTCAATTAAAATTGACTTGTGTTCGGATTGATTTGTTTCGCGGTAAATACACTGTATTTTCTTTAAATCATATTCAAATTATTCTTGAACAACTGCCGTCAAGTTTCTAAACATGTCGTGTCATATATCACGACCAATCATTTGACGAAATTTCAATTCAATGCAATGTGTTTTTCTTGATTTATCTCTCCACAAATGCAATGTGTGTGTTTTTTTTTTAGTTATTGTGTTTTATTTTTGTTCAAATGAATTGACTTGTGTTCGGATTGATTTTTTTTTTTGCGATTAATACACTGTATTTTCTTTAATTCACATTATATTGATTCTTCAACGATTCCCGTCAGTTTCTAAACATGTCGTGTCATATATCACGACCAATCATTGGACGAAATTTGCAATGTGTTTTTTTTGATTTATCGTCTCCACAAAGAACGTTTAAAAAAACAAACATTTTTTAAAAACTAAATCAACTTGATAATTGTGGTAACTCTTCGTTTTTGGCAAAACCCTCAGATCTTATATTTCCTCCAAATTTCCCTGCGTAATCGGCTTTTATTCATTATGTATCAATGATTATATTCAAAGTTCAAAACGATAGCGATTATTATTTTTACAATGTCATACGTAATCGCTCAAATCATATATACAATCGATCGTGATAATCAGGTGTAAAAGCCTTTCCAAATTAACATGCACGACAAAATGATAACTGCATCTGACTTTACATTCTTGCTGATAAACTCTAGTATTAAACATTTGCAAATGTACACATTTTGAGCAGTATATGATTATCTGGGGTATATTGTTCGATGGCTCAATATATAGCTGCAACAGCTCAAGAATATTACAAACCAACGTCAATATCTGCCCTCACAGGCATATCATACACTCCTGGGAGACAATTTTTGGCAAAATGTCTTGCCTATAAATTTCTCAAGTTTTGTCTATTTTAATAAATAAAACGCAAAATTCAGCTGTTCACCACTGATCATATACCATTCTACGACTGATGAATACCCATTAAATACAATGAAACATAGACGTTTTCCCACCACCATGAAAAAAAACCCAAACTTGCAAAGGTAATCCATACGTGTATATGTGGGTCCTATATAGCTCTATGGGTAAACAGACAAAAATCGCCATCAATATTTCAGAATAAAAAAAAATGACTTGTTCCTCATATTCAAATCATAAAATCGGACAGTGAACTGTACAAATAAGGTTTCAGCCTTGACTCAAAATGAATGAACACTCATTTGCATTTGAATGCCAGTGTGTAATCTGTAATTCTCAACTAAGCTCAATAGCTGCTTACAATGGCATTACGTGGAAAGCTATGGAAATGGGTTCTTTTATTATATATTATAAAACATACATAACTTCTGATATAAAACATGTATTGATTTCAGTATTTTTGTCTTCACATGAGTGGAAGAACATGCTCTTTTAAGACATACTTAATTGGTCCATCAAATTCGATTGCTTTTTAAGAGAAAAACAAAGTAATCCAGGTCACTTTCTGTTTGACTCTCCCTGTATTTGATATGCACTTTACCTGTTCTGACCCGACCCATGTGCAGTTGTATGGGTTCAAAATCTAAGGATGAATACAGGAACTTTTTAATTTTATTTTATTGTAATCTTTAACGAGGGTAGTCCATTTCAGTTTAAGAAAACTGCTTTCCCAAAGGACCAAAGAAAACTGCTTTCCAAAGGAACTACCCTGCAGGCTCTATTTTCACAGTCCAACATTCTTTTTTGTATTTACCCAACGTTCGATGGGAATAATTATTAAAACATATTTCCTGGTTTAATGCAGGAAGTCGTGTCACGATATACTACCGGTATGTCGTTTTGTTGTGTCTTCTATGCATTTGCGGGTATCTGTTATGTGCACCGACCTTCTTCGAAATTTTAACCGAGGAGACCAAAACGAAACTTACAGTTTAGTCCCTTCAGTGGACCGTTCGGAAGTTTGATCTATATACAAGGTACAGGGTATACAAGCTAGGTCAATAGCGACCGAGAAAGGGCGGTAACTGAAACTAGAACTCTGTTAATATATAATCAGAGACAATTGACTATTGATTGTCTTCAAAACAATAACTGGTTCGAAACTCTCAACGGCAGCAAGCTCCGTGTTATGGGACCGACAAAAATCGAATCGGTTGTCCGACCGATCGTTGTAATTTAAGAATATCGCATCCTTCGGTTAGTTAGGTTTGTCACGTGGCATATAATTAAGTCATGGGGTGCATCACGAAGTGACGCATAGGATAGATTTTGCAGCACCACTAAGTGACCGACGAAGTGAAGCAAGCATCTGTAAACGCGTGGCATGAGACACGTGACAGATATTTGACCTCAAAGCTTTATAACACGTGATCAGAAAACAATTAAATGATATACTTCCAAAATGGCGGTATACTTAAATGAGTCATGTCACTGTCAGTTTACGGGGTACATGTACAAAGTACCCCATTCTAGCCCACACGCCTGATTTAATAGCTGATTTAATCATCGTATATAGGCCTATGTATTAAAACATTGAGCACATCCTCATGTTTATATAACTACATTAAGAGTTGACTGGTATAGTTAGTTTGAATCCAAGGTACATTAAGGGGAATTCGTGCAAAGTGCATTCTAACATAACGACTTGTGCCTGTTTCAGATATGTTACTGTAGTGAAACTCGGTGTGGAGTCGAGGTTCAGGGGTGATGATTCAATCACATCAAATTTATTAGTCGTTTCTGCTCCCATTCATCACAAAAAAACCTAGTAATCAAATACATTAAAAATAAATCAATATAAACTCACATAACTTCACATACATGTGAATGTATCCCATTAATCACAATACATATGAGTACAAGTAATAAATTAACCCTAGAAAATTACATAGTCCAACCCATACAAAGAACTCCATTGCAAATACAACAGCTTTCCCATATTAACATACATGTATGACATGTGACCTCTGACCCGGTCGGCGTCTTGGAAGTTACACTTTCGTTGATAGTAAAACCCCCAAAATAACATGAAAATAATTCAATTTGTCCCATACCAGCCAGTGCACGGGCTCCAGGGCTGTCTCTCCTTCCTCTGGTGTCTAGTAATACATTCCAGCCATCGGCTGTCAGGCTAAATTGGTCTGATAATAGTTGCTAAAGCAAGCTTTCTGCAGCTGTCAGAAACGCAGACCTCGGAGACAGTGCCCGCCAAACCCGCTTACGTAAACAGTTGTTTAGTATTAAGGCGCACACGATAAAAACATCATCTGCTCTATCCTACATTCACATATTTTACAATAACAGAAATTTACTTCTGAGAATACAGCACTTCATGAGAGATAGAACCCCTTAGTTATCTATTATCGTCAAAATATCCCCTTACTTGGCTGATGAACGTACTATTTCTATATCCTCATAACCCCTCAACAAATTCGCGGAAGTTTGACCAGTTAACTTAAACAGCGCCCTCATTTGACCTAACGGGCAAAGCAAATAAATAATTTCTAATCACTACATCTCTCCCCTTCTTTTGGTGATCTACTCCTGGAGATCAATTTAGGAAAACACTTTTTTTTAAAACAGCAATAAAATGGGATCAGTTAACAAGAAAACATAATGCGACCAATCTGGCTCTGTTTACATACATTGTTATAACTCTAAAACCATACTATCTGTTGAGCTGTCTGACCCATCATTTTAACGCTCATTACATTTTCTTTCATTAAAGCACAAAAATGTTAATTTTGGCAGGGTATAACTTAAACGGCCCTCCGTCGTGACGGGTCTCATATACAATATAAATATACCCTTCTTTCCAAAATCTTAACTGAACTTTTATAGCAATACCCAAACTTTGAGTTAGGACAAACACATCGTCACTCCTAGCAACGTCAAACAAGTTACTATAATCACAGAATCCTGAATTCAAAAAACTTGATCAACTGTCTGAGGGTTCTTTCATAGTGAGCCATGCCTGCAGGGTTCAGATGCACACCATCCAGGATGTACTCAGGGTTCTTTAAGGCCCGGTGTTTCCACACCCACCATCTATCTTCTACAAATGTGGAACCCTCCAACAACCTGTTAAATGCTTCAACCCTTGCATTAAATTCATCAAGTGAGACTTGTGAGCTTCGCATGGCCCCAGTGCGGGCCAGCACAGGCAAAAATACAATAGCCTCAGGTTTGATATTCCACCTAGGAAATTCGTTAATAAGATTGCATAAGGAGGCATGCACCATCCCAGGTTGATTTTCTCTTGCACAGAGATCATTAGTTCCTAAGTCGAGGACCAGCACCTTTGGTGATATCATACCAAGTGGTCTCAAATACCGTCGAGGGTTTTTCTCTATTCGGTCTATAGTGAGACCCCCTTCCCCCAGACACTTAATCTCGTACGTTCCACCTGACAAAGCTACATAAAAAGATCCTCTCCTTTTATTAAGGCGTTTAACAAAACTATGTCCAAATAGCACAAAACTCATAGTAAATACAACATGAATAAAAAGGAGAGCCAACCTGGGCCCCTACATATAGGAAATATACCAGTTACCTAACTTGACTCTGTCATCTGACATTGTGAAAATTAAGCTGCGACGACATCGTACGAATGAGCAGCGCTGGATCTGGTCGGTCTTAAGAGAACCGGATACCCCAGCCTTCTCCCAAAACGTTCCAGACCCCCAGCGACACCCATCCACCAACTGATGTCGTCACCTCACAGTAAACACAAGATTCTATCAAATTCAAAGTAATGCTGACCGGGGAAGTCGACATGGGTTTCGGTGTACCCCCTTTGTCACCCTTTCGGATCTTCTTAGTGGAACAGAAGAGCTTGAGCCAGTGACTTGAGCTGGCTCCCCTACTTTTCCACTCCCTACTTCCCTAGAGCCATTAGCTGGAGGCCGGCCTGGCAAGCAACCCGTGTCAGACACGACAACATCACATAATGAATCCTCCTCGGACTCTTCCCCACTGTCAGACTCCGGTTCTGCTAAAGGGTCTAGTAGTAAATATTTCCTATTTACTGTCTTCTGTTCGCCTCCCTTAGCCGGTCGAATGGAACACACATCCCCTTGCTGATTTACCCACACCACGATATACGGATCGCTCTCGTATTTATTTTGAATTTTGTGACGGCCCCCAAATGCACATCTGCGCATGAGTACCTGCGAGCCTGGTACAACTGGTTTCACTGCTGTGCGCCCCCTAGCATCGTATGCTGCCTTGTTTTGACTTGCCCTCTTAGCAACTTTATCCCTCACAATTTCCGAGGCACGGTTCAACATCTGAGATTGCTCCCTAACAAATTCTTGTCCCCAATCTGAGTCAGTTCTGCCCAACATTTGATCCAGAGGGATCAGTGGTTCTCTTCCGAACATCAGGGTATACGGTTCAATGTCAGTTGCTGTATGGGGGGTAGCATTATATACAAAAACTAAATGGGAAACAAGGTCAGGCCATTTGTGCCTGTCTTGCTCATCGAGGGATTTAATCAATCCGAACAGTGTACGATTAAAACGCTCTGCTTGCGCGTTTCCCTCCGGATGATAGGGTGTGGTACGGGATTTTCTAATCCCGTACAATGAACATAATTCCCTCACGATTTCTCCCTCAAAATTGCGTCCCTGATCGCTGTGAAGTCTACTGGGTATCCCAAATTTGGTGAACCACTGGTCCCTAAGGACTTTCGCTACAGTAACAGCCAACTGGTCCCTACAGGGTGCAGCCTGTGAAAACTTGGTATAAACATCCGTCATGATGAGGATGTCTTCGTAACCCCCACGGCCCCTGTCCACTTTGACAAAATCCACCGCCAATATTTCGAGTGGTCGGAATGCCATTAGATGCCTCATTGGGACTCTAGGTTGTGGCTGTGAAGCCTTAGCAATTATACACAGTTTGCAGCGGTTTACATGACGACGGACATCCGCCGTCATTCGAGGCCAGTACGCTCTCCTCCTCAGTAAAGAGCAGGTACGGGTCACCCCTTGGTGACCCCAGCCATCATGACAACCTTTCATTATCCTAAGCTGCAGACATTTGGGTAGGAGAATTTGGAAAATCTCCCCAAGTACAGGGTCCATCACCCTCCGGCACAGAACACCATTCCTTTCAACAAACCTAGGCCACTGTCCAAGCCACAGTTTCAACTCTGGTGAAGTAGTAAACTCACAAGGCATTACCTCTCCCGGGGTCCACCTTTTGTCCCACAGTTCCCACACCAACCCCAGCTCTGGGTCATCCCTTTGGAGGGATGCCATTTGTTCCGATGACCACGACGGAAACAACCCTGGGGGACCAGCAGTTCCTGGAGGAGCGTCTCCACCAGACTGCGTAACAGTGGCTGCATTTGCAGCAACATGGATTGGAACTGCACAAGAGTGGACCTTGCTCTGCATGATTGTCTCTACCTCTGCAGTGCTCTGACTAGGATAGCGACTAAGCGCGTCCGCGCACCGGTTACTACGACCCGAGCGAAACTTCACATCGAAATTGAATGCAGCTAATTGCGCCACCCAGCGCAATTCACTTGCCCCTAACTTGGCGGTTTGCAGATGTGCGAGTGGATTATTGTCTGTGAGTATGGTAAAGGGCACCCCCAAGAGATGGTCCCTAAACTTATCCACGACAGCCCACTTTAGAGCCAGTAATTCTAATTTGAATGAGCTATAGTCTGGGTAATTAGCCTCCGCCCCCCTCAGACCACGGCTGGCATATGCAACAGGGTGTCTTTTTCCTTCTAAATCGTCTTGTGCCAAACATGCACCCAAACCCTGTAGAGAAGCATCAACTTCGAGAACAAATGCACGTGAGAAATCTGGATATGCAAGCACTGGGGCCTGAGTGAGGGCCAACTTGAGCGAGTCAAAGGCTCCCTGTGCTTCAGTGCTCCACTCAAACTTTCGGACACTTTTCCGCACTTTCCCTTTACACTGAACTGGAGGTATTATTGCATGTAGCGGTGCTGCCAAACGGGAGAAGTTTAGGACGAATCTCCTATAGTACCCTGCAAGCCCCAAAAAGGATCGCAACTGCTCTGCATTCTGTGGCACAGGCCAGTCCCTAATCTTTTGGATTTTGTCATTGTCCACCAATATTCCCTGGCTGTTTACCACATGGCCCAAAAATGAAACATGATCCTGGAGAAACTGACATTTCTTGCCCTTTATTTTCAACCCAAACTCCCCAATGCGTGTGAACACCTTGTCCAACCTTTGAAGGTGCTCTTCAAAAGTGGACGAGTACACAAGTATATCATCCAAGTAAATGAGGAGCTCTGACAAGTTCATGTCCCCAAGACACATCTCCATCACTCGTTGGAACGTTCCAGGGGCATTGACTAGCCCGAATGGCATACGGGTAAACTCGAACAGTCCGAAAGGCACCCTGAATGCAGTCTTCTCCACGGACTTAGGATCCATAACTACCTGGTGGTAGCCATGAGCCAAATCCATGGAGGAGAAATACTTGGCACGTTGGAGTGCCTCCAGGGACTCTTCTATGCGGGGGAGGGGGAACGAATCGCGCACCGTTTTTGCATTTAAGCGCCTGTAATCAATGCATAATCGCAGGCTCCCATCTTTTTTTCGAACAAGTACAATCGGGCTCGCATATGGGCTCGCACTGCGCTTTATGATGCCCTGATCTAGTAGTCGTTGCAGGAGTTCCCTCACTTCCTGCAAATCCCTGGGTGGAATCCTACGGTAAGGCTGGCCAATGGGTATGTTGTCTACAGTACGAATTACATGAGGTATCGTATCACAACAGCCTACATCATACTGGTGTTTAGAGAATTTTGTGTCATGTTTCTGCACTAGCCGCACCAACTGCTCTTTCTGATTTTCATCCAAACTACAAGAAGCAAAGGTTAATCCTGGGGGTAACTGGTATTGGGTTCCATCCCTAAACACAAAAGTCTCTTGTGAGGAAGGTTCTGATGTGTCCACTGACACATCAGACTTGGGCGTTGGCCCAACCTCAACATGGCCACTACCTACGTCTTCAACCAAAACTTCATGCACAGATACCTGTAATGCACTTATCTCTTCCTCCAGCCCAATTTGTTCAGAGGATACCACAGTAGCTTGTGCCAACTTTGTGTGGGGAGGAATAACCAATGCCTGGGTCCCAAGATTAGCAACTAGAATATTTACAAAGCGACCATCAGTAATCCCACAAGAATTGTATACCCTAAGGGTTGGGGAAACGTTTGTTGTTCCTTCGCTCCCCTCATTTATTTCTCCACTCTCTGTCAAATGACTATCCACAAGAATCATTTTGTCTCTGAAATCCTCAACTGGGGCTCTAATCTGGCATTTAATGGTTTGCACCTGCCTGGGAGGGACAGTCATTGGTTGCCCACGAGTGCGCACAGACACCGGATTCTTTGATCCCTTATTAAATTTGTGTCGATCTTGATCATGTGGTTCTCTTGCGAGACGGTACCACTGCAGAGCAACACTCAAAGCTTCTGCATCTTGCACTTTTGAGTCAATCGCTATGCCCTTCAACAGTTCTAGTACATTACAACCGATTAGTACTGGGCTCTTCCGGCCCCCCACCCCACACTGTGATGGGTCTCTCACAACTAGGAAATGTGCCATCACTGTGTGGTTATGCACCACCATTGGGACCTCCACATATCCCTCCACAGGCAGCTCTAAGTGACCTACCCCATATACCCGCAGGTACCGGCCCACTGGTTCGGGCCCACTCATCTTATCCGACAAATGTTTGCTAAAAAAAGATGAGCTCATAAGGGAGGTTTCAGCTCCTGTATCTAGTATACAAGTTACCGGAACTCCAGCTAAAGTCACATTAACTGAAGGGCTTTTATGTACCAGGCGAGTAAGAAGTTCATTTACCGAATGCTCAGACAATTCCCCCCTTTCACAATGCACATTGTCCCCAGGTGAGGCCATTTCAGAGACTCCCTCCATCACTTGGCCTACAGTGATGGAGGACTTGTGTTTAACTCACCACTAACCGTGGATTTATCACATGGTGACCCCACACCATCCGATTGCCCCTGTCCCCCAGAGGACTTACTGCTAGCTGTCAAACTTTGGCCACTACCACCGAATCTACAATTAGCCTTGATATGCCCAGGGCGCTTGCATCTGAAACACACCACGCGCCGTCCCCCTTGACCAACATTAAATGGTTTTGGATCTGACCCTTTGATCACATGTTCCATCAAGGTTGTGAGCTGTTCTTGTTGTTTTAGAATCTGTTCCTGTTGATCCCTAATGCACTTCATCATTTCTGTTTGCTGTTGCATCACTTTTTGAAACTGCCCCCCACTAGGAGTACGAACGGCCACGCCCTCCACTGATACCTCAACTACATCATTAGCACAATTCAAACCCCCCTGATTTTCCTCATCAGGATCATCAAACGGTGCCACGCCCACTTGGCGTACCTGGCTTCGTTTGACCTTTGGCCTATCGATATCCCTGAATAGGTCTAAAGCAGCATCTCGCAGCGCACTGAAACTTTGCCCTGGTGTGGCCAACTCAAGACGTCGTAGCTCTAAGCGCATGCTTTGGTTCTTGGCCCCAGCTACAAACTGATTAATGAGGACTTTATCCTTAAGTCCCTTCAATCCTTCTTTTTCTCCCTCACTCCCAGCCTCGATTATACGATCATAAAGCCTAATGAGAGACCGTGAATAGTCCATGAGGGACTCATCTTCCAGTTGATGACGCTCATATAGAGACTTCTGCAACGACTGTACAGTTTCGTCTGCCCCAAACTGCCTGTTAAGTAGCCTTATCAAGGCCTTATAATCGCCTTTCACTGACGGGTTACACTTAACCTCATCCCGGGCCAACCCCCCTAAGTGATTATAGACAACCTGCGCTTTATCTTTGTCAGGGATATGGCATTGTTGACAATATATATCAACCTCATCAATCCACTCAAGAATGGTAGGATCCCCTGCCCTACTTGGACGGCCATTAAACCTAGCTAATTTAATCGCTCGTTGCGTGGTTGGCTTATGATTTGACTTGATGGCCTCAGTCAGGCCTGCAACAAGGCGCTCAACCAGGCCAGCCTCCGCCTCAGCCATAGCACAAGAAACGCGGTTCACAAAACCCCACGCGAAAATCCAAGGTCAGCCTAAAATATTTCTACAATCAACACGGCTAAATTAACTAGGTCCAATTAACTGGCAGATTACCCAATATTTTCAACCGATAATGCACTGGCTGGTTTTTGTTTTTGTTTCTTCAGTTATCACGACCACTTACTGCTGGCAACCTAATCTACAATGTAACTACTGATTTACATTTAAACTGTATGAGTAAACATGACACAGTCCATGCGTATGACTCCAAACTGCCTACCGCAACCACTGTCTGTAGTTCCCTTTCAGACTCCCTGGTAGTGGTACTGTTACGGCATCCGTCCACGTTGCCTCCCCAGCAAACGCATGTAATTCCCCGCAGTTCTCCTACGCTAGGCTCACGTCACCGTCCACCCGTTCAGTCAGGTCATTAGGTCAGCACTCAGCACCCCATCCGTGTTACCAATTTTGTAGTGAAACTCGGTGTGGAGTCGAGGTTCAGGGGTGATGATTCAATCACATCAAATTTATTAGTCGTTTCTGCTCCCATTCATCACAAAAAAACCTAGTAATCAAATACATTAAAAATAAATCAATATAAACTCACATAACTTCACATACATGTGAATGTATCCCATTAATCACAATACATATGAGTACAAGTAATAAATTAACCCTAGAAAATTACATAGTCCAACCCATACAAAGAACTCCATTGCAAATACAACAGCTTTCCCACATTAACATACATGTATGACATGTGACCTCTGACCCGGTCGGCGTCTTGGAAGTTACACTTTCGTTGATAGTAAAACCCCCAAAATAACATGAAAATAATTCAATTTGTCCCATACCAGCCAGTGCACGGGCTCCAGGGCTGTCTCTCCTTCCTCTGGTGTCTAGTAATACATTCCAGCCATCGGCTGTCAGGCTAAATTGGTCTGATAATAGTTGCTAAAGCAAGCTTTCTGCAGCTGTCAGAAACGCAGACCTCGGAGACAGTGCCCGCCAAACCCGCTTACGTAAACAGTTGTTTAGTATTAAGGCGCACACGATTAAAACATCATCTGCTCTATCCTACATTCACATATTTTACAATAACAGAAATTTACTTCTGAGAATACAGCACTTCATGAGAGATAGAACCCCTTAGTTATCTATTATCGTCAAAATATCCCCTTACTTGGCTGATGAACGTACTATTTCTATATCCTCATAACCCCTCAACAAATTCGCGGAAGTTTGACCAGTTAACTTAAACAGCGCCCTCATTTGACCTAACGGGCAAAGCAAATAAATAATTTCTAATCACTACATTACATAATGCAGTTACGCTTTGTAACAGCAGGTCATCAGGGCTTACAACGCGTCAGACGGCTCTTCAATCTGCGAGTATCTGCACTGCAGCATCCGGCGCAAAACCTTCTTGAACTGTGGATGCTTGGACGCGTAGATGATCGGGTTGACGCAGCTGTTGCAGGTGAAGACCACGCCCAGGAACAACAGGTAGCGGTCGGTGTTGGCGATGAAGAGCGCCACACCGTACGGAGTGACGCAGACGACGAAAGCACAGACGGCCATGAAGAGATTCTTGGTGATCTGGAGCTGCTGGCGGTAGGCTCGACCCTGTTGGGAGGTCTTCAAGACAGCCGCGTTGTCGGATACCTGGAAGCTGCTTGAGCTAGAGACCGGGCCTGTGTCGCTGATGCTGATGCCCCCTGATGTATGATTGAGTTGAATAATTGTATACCTTGCTATTGGGAGTATTATCAACTGGACCTCACAAAATCGCTGGGAAAACTCCCTGCTATAATTACAGGTATATATTTTTATGGACCATACTTCCTGCATATACACTGTAAACCATGTGTTTAGGTTTAGAACACCTAAATAAACACTAATCTGTGACAGTTTTTAAACATGTGACGCAGTTTATCCAATGAACATGTTTAATTTGAAAACATATTTGGTGTTTAAAATCAGCACACTGACGGTGTTTAATCTTTAAACGGAACAGTGTTTAAAATATATACATCAAAGGCGTTTAAAATTTAAATACTACTGACGTTTAAAAAGTAAACACACAGTCAAAAAGAAAACACGTCAATCTGTTGTAATTTTAAACATGTGACACGTTTATTGCTTGTGACAGATTTTAAACATGTGACGCCATTTATTATTATTTTCAAGTGTTTATATTCACAGTGTGTGTTTAGTTTTCGAACAGTATTCAAAATTGCAAGTAAAACTTCAGTCACAATATTAACAACATTGAAATAAACGCATTTAGGGCACTTCACAAAGCTGTCTTCATTTTCACCTATAGGATTGTGGTGAAAGGCCTATTCAGTTCTATTGAATCATGAAAATGACAACAATAAAATACAAATGCATTTTTATGGTCAACCCTAGAGAATATTGTACATCACGACAGCAAAAATAATGTGACATTTATGTGAATATGCCACATGCCTATCAGTATGTTTCCAACAATCCTTTTTTTAAGACCCCAACATTAAGGCCAATTACATTTTTCACAAGTATCAAAACAAAGAAACAAAAACATAAACAAACACAAAAAGGGTGAATTAAAAGTAAATGAATATATCTGGAAATAGGGCTAAAATCAATTATTTTCCAATTCAATGAGAGTTAGAAGTAAAACTGCAAAAGATTATGCTTGTTTTTTAAAACCTATGAAGGTTTGCGTTATAGTTTGAAGTGGTAAAATAAGTATTGATCTTTAGCTGAGATTTCAACAATATATCTAATTAATTTATACACAAATACCTTGTAGTGAACTGCATCAATTTGCTGGAATCTGCCAGGAAAACTTTTCTCTAATTATGATTTTTTGAAAATAACTCAAAGCACGTGAAAATACTTTGGACAATCCAAATCAAAGGCATAGTTCCCCAAGCTGGAGAAGAAGCGCATCATTGTACGTGTTGTAGTTCGAGACTTTCTTGATGGTGTCTCCCTCCACATGTAATGTAAACTGTAGTTTTGATGCAGATACTCTGTCTGGTTCAGCAGCATTCTGTGGACATGAACAAGATTTCTGAGTGAGCCATACATAAACTGATCAACTTTGAAAGTGAAACCAAACTCACAGTAAAAAAAAATAATGGAGACCCTAAAATGACAAGTCATTAATAAAGTTTACTCCAGGAAGAATATGAAAACTGATTACAAAATTGGGTTCAAAAGTAAATTGCACAATTGTCGGCCTTTTTGGGACTCACGTCAATATTAACCTTTGTTATCAGAGATAATGTGCACAAAGACTGTAAAGTTACAGCTTGAGCTTGATCGTGGATCAAATATTAAAAATAAAATCTGAAGAAAACAGGCAAGCTTTTCACAGTTTCGTACCAATAACTTTGCAGTCATGTAGGTATTTACGGAGACTTTCTATTTAAAATTGTATTTCAAAATTGTATTCACCTAGAATGTTATACTTTTTCATTTCATGATGTTTTACCGCCAGAGTAAATTTACAGTGGAAGTTGAAAGGTTCTTATGCAAGATAGAATCTCAGCCAAACATCATCATTCAATTAAATTGAAGATTTGAATAATATATTTTACAATACAAAATTACCTCATGAATAGTTAGCACTCTCCTCGTCTTCGTACCCTCGCCACGTTCAAACTTGGTGTTCTGCTGAACGTACATGTATGCAATTACATCGAGCGTCTACAGAGGACCCTATATTCAAAACATAACACATGTTCTGTAAAACGAATTGTTTTGAATCCCTGTGAAATACTGCATTGTACCAAAAATTTGGGGATCATCTTTTATGTACACGCACTGCTGGTTTTTCAAAAGTTGTATACACAGCTGATCTTTACAATCACACACTGCACTGCCAAATGACGATCAATGCCAAAAGACACTTACTTCATTTTAAAAGTCAATAGCTTCCTTCATCTGCAAGGGATTAGACACACCCTGAAAATATACAGAAAGAAAATATCAAAACAATATACGCCCATAACATCATGAGAAATGGAAATTATGGTTAAACAATTTGTACCTGACCTTACAAATACTAGAATTTTCTTTTCAAAATCATTCATGCTGGTCCCTTTCAGATTACATAACTTAGGCAGTGGTGATAACACTAGCATGCTTTTATTGAATAGTTAAATCACGATTTCAAAAAAAAAATCCACTTCACTGAATTTTCCAAGATTACAAACATTTTGACACTGCGTGTTTGCAATTGTAATTCGCCCCATAGGCTTATAGCCTCATATTAAGTATACACTCAACATAGACCACCCCATAATGTGGCTCAAATACAGAACTTCCTTCATAATATTGTGAGCTGCACAGCAGTTATCTATATATATAAGAGAGAGTTTAACTCGGCCTCCGAGACGATGTTTGCTCATGAAAGGATCCGAGACCGCGGGCTCCCGCTGCGCCAAAATCGCTCCACGTCCGTGGAAAAATACGGAGGGTGTCTTCCGCCGGGTCGGACACTTCGGGTCGTCCTGATTTTCCCGTACGGACCGGCGATCCTTTTCGTCTATTTTTCGTGACTGCATTTTGCGCAGGAATTAGCCGTCGTGTGCGCTTTCACGTTGACTGCCTGGCCGCCCCCTGTGCTGGCTTTTCTGCGAGTCTAGACTGTGCGAGGTCAGCGAGGTCAACGTAGGGGTTTCGTTTACGTGTTCTACTCAGCCGTTCTGCAAAAGCGTTCCCCAAATTGTGGTGTGGGGTGACCTTGGTAAAATATTTTTTCTCCATGGTGCGTGGCCACCGAGTGCCCCTATTCTTTCATATGCTTCGCTTGCCGCCCCTGCGCCGAGTGCAACGAATACTCAGAAGGACTTCACATTAAGTATGCCTTGCGCGGTCTGACCAATCGAAAGTCTACACTGCGTAGTATTTCCGGGCTATCCAAAACTGTCGATGGCAACGCGTACTGCAGCCTGCTCCACACCCTGGAAACGAGGTTGGGTCTACGGTGCTCGCTATTTGAAGCGCAAGCATGTGACGTCGCGTGACAAGAGTGCTGTTGCTTCCATAATGTGTTTACAGCTCCATGCTTCCACCACCAAGGCTGAGCGTTGGAGTTCGCTGCCCGCCACAGTGTTGCGTTATAATTTCGGGGGCCTGTCTGGGATCAACGAAGGATCGATGCATTGCTTCAAACATCGCGATCTTAAACGCAGTCACACAAAAAATCGACGAAAATGTGTCCGATCTGGCGGAAGACACCCTCCACATTTTCCCACGGACGTGGAGCGATTTTGGCGTCGCGAAAGACCGCGGTCTCAGATCGTTTCAGGAGCAAACATTTCTCGGAGGCCGAGTAAAATTTGCTCTTATATAGATGGTTGACCCAAGTTGAATAACAGTTGACTCGACTTTTTCCTCGCAGACAGTCTCGCAAATTGTAAGAAGTTCAAGTTTACGTTTGTTGAAGAGTCCAATATACTGAAACTTAATTATGACCTTCCTAATCAGCCTTCGCCTGTGTACTACGGTAAGCCTTTCAAGTTTTCTCACAAATGCCACTGCCTCACAAAATGCCAATTTAACGGACCAACGGGAACATTTACAGACTGTTGCCATGGTACATAATTATCATGGGCGTCAATCGGTGGGGGACGGGGAACCCCTCCACCCCCCCCCCCCCATTTTAAAGCGGTGAACGCTGTTTTGGTCCCCTCCCCCCACTTTTCTTCCCCGAATAAAAATTGTAGCTACTACATGTATAATGATTCTATTACTCAGAATAGCTGATTCAATGACACCAAACTCGAAAATGATGTTTAAAAGATTATCTTTTGCTAAAAAAAATTGTTTAGTGGTCAGAAATTGCCTCAGATCGCACCACAGAAATTGCTTTTCTATAACTGCATGTCTTCTCAACTAAATCCCCCAATTACATTCATCTCCCCACATTTTCATCCCCAACTCTACGCCCTACCCGATCTATGATGGGGTAAATGAACGAGGGATCGATGCATTGCTTCAAATATTGTGATCTTTGAACTATGTTGGGTTCGAATAACGAAGAGTGCATAAATAATAATATTGGCGGTTGTTGGCTGTTTGGCCTTGCTTTTATTATGGTTGAACCATGCCAACTTGAATAAAATAGTTAAATCGACTTTTTCCTCGCAGGTCTCGCAAATTGTAAGAAGTTCAAGTTTACGTTTGTTGAAGAGTCCAATACTGTATCTTCATAATGACCTTCCTCCATGATTCAGACTATGTAATTTTATGGTTACACACTCAACATTTTCATTGCAAATGTCACCTTCACGTTTTATTCCATTATGATTTATTGTCAAAACAGTACAATCAGCCTTCGCCTGTGTACTATACGGTAAGTCTTTCAACTCAGTTTTCCCACATTAACAAACGCGACTGCCTCACAAAATGCAATTTAACAGACCAACGGGAAAATTTACAGACAGTTTATACATGCCATGGTACATAATTATCATGGGCGCGGCGTCAATCGGTGGGGGACGGGGGACCCCCACCCCAACATTTTAAAGCGGGCAATATCGTTTGGTTCCCTACCCCCACTTTTTCTTCCCCGAATAAAAATTGTAGCCTACTATAATATTCATTTGCTCAGAAAAGCTGATTCAATGACTCCAAACTCGAAAATGATGTTTAAAAGATGATCTTTTGTTTTACTATCGTACGTGCTCAGAAATTGCCTCAGATCGCGTCACTTGCTTTTCTTTAGCTACAAGTCTTCTCAACTAAATCCCCCATTTACATTTAACTCCCCACACTTTCAACCCCAACACAAATACGCCCTACCCGATCTATGATCGGGTAAATCAGCTTGTACTGTATAACAGCATCGTCATCCAAGAAAAATAATATGAGGAAATCAAAATCAGGGTTGTTTTTTCCCCTTCATATTCATGTTTTATCACACGATCCTTTGGCCAATAATTGCTCCCACTAATTCATCTCATCTCGTATTTCTAAATCTATCATATTGTATATAGGGATTAATTAAATCAAACAACACAAAAGACAAAACTTACCACCTGTGTGGGAGCTTCCAGAACTGGTTCAAACTACAACCGTCGTACTGCATGCACAGAATACGTTGCATCTGAGTACATGTACTCTTGCTGACTTGGCAATATGCATACCAAACTTGACCTCTAGCCTAGGTCATGACCAACTGTTAGTACCTTCTGTGAGAATACATCATACATGTATATTGTTTCATTACCCGTGCAAATTTTGTTACCACGAATGACGATAATAATTCTCGCCATAACATTATTCTATTAGTGTGCCCAGATTATTGTCAGAAAAATGGCGGTTGTCTTTGTGCCGCGTAATTAACTGGCCCGATTATGCCGCGCCAGCACGCAATCAGATTTAATCCTATTGGTTAAGACCTAACATCACGTGGTCATATTTAAACATCGTGACGTGTACCGTGTTTATTAGGTGTTGAACACAAACAGCTAAATTAATAACTTGAGTTATTATTAGTGTCCTAATTAGTTAATAAGCCTTTTTTTAAACAAAGTGTTATTCTTTGGGAATAAACAAAATGCTAACTAGTGAAATTGAACAGGAAACCATATTTTCTAAAACCGATCTCATAATAAACACCCTATAGCACTGTTGACATTAAACGCTAACTGTTTTGTTTAAAAACACATGATGTGTTTAATTTTGTCACATAGTGTTTAAATCTAAAACACTGCGTTTATTTTATAAACGTGTCACATGTTCTCGCGTTTTACAGTGTAGACTGTGTTCTTCCCTTTGTCAGACTTCGGCCCTATTGTTAGTGTATAATAGTCACAGGCCAAATGCGACACAGTGCCTCGAGGGGGAAGTCTCATGTTTGTTTTGGATGACAAAATAAAAGAGTATCTGACCCAGATCTTATATAGGTCACACATACGGAAATGCTGTTCATAATTACACACTCGTAAACGCTAGGCCGGCCAACTTTGGGATTCCGTGTTTATTAAAGGAAAAGGAAATTGTGACATAGTTGTGGTGTTTCCACTTGAAACAAAATCACGACAAAAAAAAATACATCAACTTGATTATTGTGATAACTGTACGTTTTTGGCAAAACCCTCAGATCTTATATTTCCTCATTGAATTTTCCTGCGTAATCGGCTTTTAATCATTATGTATCAATATTATAGTTATTCAAAGTAGCAAAACGATAGCGATTTTTACAATGTTATACATAATCGTTCAATTCATTTAATACAATCGATCGTGATAATCAGGTGTAAAAAGCCTTGCCAAATTAACATGCACGACAAAATGATAACTGCATCTGACTTTACATTCTTACATAATAAACTCTAGTATTAAACATTTACAAATGTACACATTTTATTGACATTTTAATCCAGGTCACTTTCTGTTTGACTCGCCGTGTATTTAATATACTCTTTACCTGTTTTTTACACGACCCGTGGGCAGTTGTATAGGTTCGAAATCTAAGGATAGATACAGGAACTTTTTTTTTTAAATTCCCAAAGGAACTACCCTGCAGGCTCTATTTTCACAGTCCAACATTCATTTTGTATTTACCCAAAGTATGGAGTAGAACATTCGATGGGAATAATTATTAAAACACATTTCCTGGTTTAATGCAGGAAGTCGTGTCACGATTTACTACCGGTATGTCGTTTTGTTGTGTCTTCTATGCATTTGCGGGTATTTGTCATGTGCACCGACCTTCTTCGAAATTTTAACCGAGGAGACCAAAACGAAACTTCCGATTTAGTCCCTTCAGTGGACCGTTCGGGAGTTTGATCTATATACAAGGTACAGGGTATACAAGGTCAATAGCGACCGAGAAAGGGCGGTAACTGAAACTAGAACTCTGATACTATATAATCAGAGACAATTGACTATTGATTGTCTTCAAAAAAGGAACTGGTTCGAAACTCTCAACGCCAGCAAGCTCCGTGTTATGGGACCGACAAAAATCGAATCGGTTGTCCGACCGATCGTTGTAATTTAAGAATATCGCATCCTTCGGTTTAGTTAGGTTTGTCGCGTGGCATATAGTTAAGTCATGGGGTGCATCACGAAGTGACGCATAAGATAGATTTTGCAGCACCACTAAGTGACCGACGAAGTGAAGCAAGCATATGTAAACGCGTGGCATGAGACACATGACAGATGTTTGCCCTCAAAGCTTTATAACACGTGATCAGAAAAAGAATAAATGATATACTTCCAAGATGGCGGTATACTTGAATGAGGCATGTCACTGTCAGTTTACTGGGTACGTGTACAAAGTACCCCTTCTTGTCCACACGTCTGATTTGATAGCGGATTTAATCATCGTAAATAGGCTTATGTATTAAAACATTGAGTACATAACTACATTAAGAGTTGACTGGTATAGTTAGTTTGAATCCAAGGTACATTTAGTGGAATTCGTGCAAAGTGCATTCTAAGATAACGACTTGTGCCTGTTTCAGATATGCCTTTCGATAGGATTGTTTGTTACATAATGCAGTTACGCTTTGTAACAGCAGGTCATCAGGGCTTTCAACGCGTCAGAAGGCTCTTCAATCTGCGAGTACCTGCACTGCAGCATCCGGCGCAAAACCTTCTTGAACTGTGGATGCTTGGACACGTAGATGATCGGGTTGACGCAGCTGTTGCAGGTGAAGACCACGCCCAGGAACAACAGGTAGCGGTCGGTATTGGGGATGAAGAGTGCCACGCAATACGGAGTGATGCAAACGAAAAAGGCACAGACGGCCATGAAGAGATTCTTGGTGATCTGGAGCTGCTGGCGGTAGGCTCGACCCTGTTGGGAGGTCTTCAAGACAGCCGCGTTGTCGGATACCTGGAAGCCGCTTGAGCTAGAGACCGGGCCTGTGTCGCTGATGCTGATGCCACCACGCAAGGACCTCTGGGCCTTGAAGTGGCGCCGGACGTGTAGGTAGATGAGGGTGTAAGAGGTGACGATGATGATCAGTGGGATGGGATAGCCGAGGAAGGTTTGGATCCTCTCGAAGGTCTTGGCCTTGGGATGGGTGTCCAGGTCGCTGCAGGTGTGATGCTGCTCGTCGTAGCCGAAGCCGCCGACGCCACAGAGAGGTGGCACGACCATTGTGGCGATGGCAACGAACCACAAAACTGCCACGTTGATGGCCAAGTTGCGCCTTGTGTAGAGACTATGATAGAGGGTCATCGGGCGCTTGATGAGGATCAGCCTGTTCAGAGCGATGGAGGCCAGGTTGTAGAGACTAGCGCAGGAGCTGATGTACAGAAGCATGCCGGCAAGGTAGCACGGTGTCTCGGTGGACCACGGCCAAGCGTCTCCTGGGCTGAGCAGGCCGACGGCGCTCATGGGAAGCGCCAGGCCGGTCAGCAGGTCGGCTACGCTGAGACTGACCACGAAGACGTTGGTGGACGTGCGGAGCTTCCTGCTGAACACCACGGCGAGGATGACCATGGTGTTACCGATGATATCAATCAGGGCGATCATAAGCCACAGTACGGCGATTACTATCCTCTCTTGGTAGGTCTGTAGGGATTTACTCATCGGCCCTGCTTCGGTACTCGCTGCCGTGAAGGTTGAGTTGTCCATCCAGGGAACTGCCGACGAAGATTCGTCAACACCTGCAGTTGAAGTATCGTTGGAAAATACCATCGTTGCGTCACCCATTTTGCTCCTTGTTTTTGGATGTTATACGGAGCTGTGAGAATAGAGAGTTAGGTTTAGGGAAAGGAGTTTCAGGGTTGCACTACAGTGTTTACACAACATGTTGTGATAACGCGATGCAGACTTTCGGAAAAGTGTCCCAGTTTAGACATTTGCAGTCAGTGGCGTATCCAGCTTTTGAGGTCGGGAAGATGGGGGGGGGGGGGGGGGGGCAACCGCACTCGCACACACGCGCCAAAATGTAGCCACGTTCGTTTCTCCGGACACTTCCAAATGACCATTATGCATACTGGGAAATATATGCCGATTTTCACGGCGCATTGTAATGGTTTTGGAGCTTGTTTTTTTCTTCATGCCAGAACTCTTTAACCATGAGTAGAAATAGTTACTGAAAAAAAGGTATTCTCAAATATCCACCAGGGGGGGGGGACCCCCCCCCCCCCCGCCCTCTGGATACACCACTGTTTGCCGTTTAATATTAAATATCACACGAAAGATGCTAATGTGTTTGTTTCACCAATGTCATGCCTAATAGCATTTTTTCACATTTGGCATGATCTATTTGGAAAAAAAAAAATTAGGTGAAAGCCTCGATACGATTTCTATTGCATTGAGATTGGATTGCATTTCATGTTTTGTATCTTTTACCACGACCAAACAAAGAAACAAACACCCCAACACCCCAACCAACAAACCCCCCCCCCCCAACCAACCAACCAACAAACAAACAAACAACCCAACTCCCCCAACACCCCAACAAACAAACAACCCAACAAACAAACATCCGCCAACTCGTTTCGATTACTATAGTCAAGTTGACGTTTCTTTGGGTTTCAAAAGTCGCAAAGGAATCGTTTCACACACACCGATCAAGTTTCCATTGTTATACACAATAGGCAAAATTAATCCCACCAAAACTCGGGAGACGGGACCTCTTCGAATGTCACTGTACAGTTGCAAAACATTGTTTATGGCCAAAATTGCAGCACTCCCATTTTGGGGAACAATGTTTGTATCTATACTCTCGCACTGTTCCAAATAAGAAATGGTAACATGACCGTTAATAAAATTGGGTATAACATTACATGCAGTGATATATTTTCTGATTAGTTGGTTAATTCAGGTAAAATGTATGACAATTTTGGGGGAGAATTTGCCAATACATATATAGGCAGTTCATACCTGAATATACAGGCAGTTCATACGCTGACTGATATCGGGCAACATACCAACTCATTCGCCTAAAATGTTTTTGAGCGAGGAAAACAAAGTGTTCCTTGTCAATCATTTCTATGAAGGTATCGAAGGTATCATTTCTATAAGGTAGCCATTCAACAACGCCTCGTTAATAGTTACTTTAACAAATGCAGACCTAAAGTAAACTAAAACAAACATGGTTTGACTAAAATTTCATTTAAAAAGTTGCACACTTACCGAGTTTTAGAACCAGACAACAAAGATGTAGTCCCTGTTTCAGATAAAGCTTTTGAAATTACCGAGCAAAAGTCCCAACATGTGGAAAGAAGGTGTCAGCGCTTATTCTTCCACTAAGCCACTTGTGTCTTTAGTAGTGTGTTTAGATGTAATAATGCGTTGTGAAGATATGATTTCTTTTTTAACGACTACCATAAGGCAAGCGCTGTGTACAGAGCGGATATGCCCGTGATCTTGCGGCAACCAGGAAGGCGGAACAGCGCCCCGTGCTCATTGGATCATTTCGGCTGACTCTTATTCTTGGCAATGGCATTGCTCAGTCACACTGCTCGGTTGGATTGGGCGGTATATTGGGCTCTCGAGATCGCCCAACCTTCCTCTGGTTTTCGTCCAATCATTGGACGCAATTTCAATTCAATGCAATGTATTTTTCTTGATTGATCGTCTGCACAAAGAATGTTTTATTTTTGTTCAATTAAAATTGACTTGTGTTCGGATTGTTTTTTGTTCGCGGTAAATACACTGTATTTTCTTTAAATCATATTCAAATTATTCTTGAACAACTGCCGTCAAGTTTCTAAACATGTCGTGTCATATATCACGACCAATAATTTGACGAAATTTCAATTCAATGCAATGTGTTTTTCTTGATTTATCTCTCCACAAATGCAATGTGTGCGTGTTTTTTTTAGTTATTGTGTTTTATTTTTGCTCAAATGAATTGACTTGTGTTCGGATTGATTTTTGGTGCGATTAATACACTGTATTTTCTTTAATTCATATTAAATTGATTCTTCAACAATTCCCGTCAATTTTTAAACATGTCGTGTCATATATCACGACCAATCATTGGACGAAATTTGCAGTGTGTTTTTCTTGATTTATCGTCTCCACAAAGAACGTTAAAAAAAACCCTTTTTTTTTAAAACTAAATCAACTTGATAATTGTGGTAACTCTTCGTTTTTGGCAAAACCCTCAGATCTTATATTTCCTCCAAATTGTCTTGCGTAATCGGCTTTTATTCATTATGTATCAATGATTATATTCAAAGTTCAAAACGATAGCGATTATTATTTTTACAATGTCATTCGTAATCGCTCAATTCATATATACAATCGATCGTGAAAATCCGGTGTAAAAGCCTTTCCAAATTAACATGCACGACAAAATGATAACTGCATCTGACTTTACATTCTTGCTGATAAACTCTAGTATTAAACATTTGCAAATGTACACATTTTGAGCAGTATATGATTATCTGGGGTATATTGTTCGATGGCTCAATATATAGCTGCAACGGCTCAAGAATATTACAAACCAACGTCAATATCTGCCCTCACCGGCATATCATACACTCCTGGGAGACAATTTTGGCAAAATGTCTTGCCTATAAATTTCTCAAGTTTCGTCTATTTTAATAAATAGAACGCAAAATTCAGCTGTTCACCACTGATCATATACCATTCTACGACTGATGAATACCCATTAAATACAATGAAACATAGACGTTTTCCCACCTCCACGAAAAAAACCCCAAACTTGCAAAGGTAATCCATACGTGTATATGTGGGTCCTATATAGCGCTATGGGTAAACAGACAAAAATCGCCATCAATATTTCAGAATTAAAAAAAATGACTTGTTCCTCATATTCAAATCATAAAATCGGACAGTGAACTGTACAAATAAGGTTTCAGCCTTGACTCAAAATGAATGAACACTCATTTGCATTTGAATGCCAGTGTGTAATCTGTAATTCTCAACTAAGCTCAATAGCTGCTTACAATGGCATTACGTGCAAGCTATGGAATTAGGTTCTTTTATTATATAAAACATACATAATTTCTGATATAAAACATGTATTGATTTCAGTATGTTTGTCTTCACATGAGTGGAAGAACATGCTCTTTTAAGACATACTTAATTGGTCCATCAAATTCGATTGCTTTTTAAGAGAAAAACAAAGTAATCCAGGTCACTTTCTGTTTGACTCTCCCTGTATTTGATATGCACTTTACCTGTTCTGACCCGACCCATGTGCAGTTGTATGGGTTCAAAATCTAAGGATGAATACAGGAACTTTTTAATTTTATTTTATTGTAATCTTTAACGAGGGTAGTCCATTTCAGTTTAAGAAAACTGCTTTCCCAAAGGACCAAAGAAAACTGCTTTCCAAAGGAACTACCCTGCAGGCTCTATTTTCACAGTTCAACATTCTTTTTTGTATTTACCCAACGTTCGATGGGAATAATTATTAAAACATATTTCCTGGTTTAATGCAGGAAGTCGTGTCACGATATACTACCGGTATGTCGTTTTGTTGTGTCTTCTATGCATTTGCGGGTATCTGTCATGTGCACCGACCTTCTTCGAAATTTTAACCGAGGAGACCAAAACGAAACTTACAGTTTAGTCCCTTCAGTGGACCGTTCGGAAGTTTGATCTATATACAAGGTACAGGGTATACAAGCTAGGTCAATAGCGACCGAGAAAGGGCGGTAACTGAAACTAGAACTCTGTTAATATATAATCAGAGACAATTGACTATTGATTGTCTTCAAAACAATAACTGGTTCGAAACTCTCAACGGCAGCAAGCTCCGTGTTATGGGACCGACAAAAATCGAATCGGTTGTCCGACCGATCGTTGTAATTTAAAGAGAATATACATCATTTGCTTTTGCTGTAATTTTCAGAAATGGATGGAATTGGGGGGTTAGAAATATATAGCAAATATAGTTACACTGACTTTTTGGAGGTTTTGGGTTCGAAAATGCTATAAAAACCAAGAAAAACGATCATTTTCCTGTAGTCTGGTTCCCTGACTCTATATAAGAAGAAAACAGAGCAGTTTACATACATTGGGGAATTGTAAGGTCAGGGAACCAGTCTAGCTGGCTCGTACCCGTTCATAGGTTTGTAATCGATTGCAAACAAGTGCAATGGTCAATTGGGTCCAGTATTTGAAAAAAAAGCCAGTTGTTTCCAACGCTGATCGGCCGATCAGCGTTGGAAATTGATACAAAAATACCACTTTTCTTGAAAATGACAGTATACCAGGTGCCATAATTTTACAGGATGCTTTAGACTGTCATTTACCAACATCCTATTAACTTATTTCGCAAAAACTTGGTACTTTTATTTTTCGATGTTTGCAAATGTTGTATATTCCCTTTAAGAATATCGCATCCTTCGGTTAGTTAGGTTTGTCACGTGGCATATAATTAAGTCATGGGGTGCATCACGAAGTGACGCATAGGATAGATTTTGCAGCACCACTAAGTGACCGACGAAGTGAAGCAAGCATCTGTAAACGCGTGGCATGAGACACGTGACAGATATTTGACCTCAAAGCTTTATAACACGTGATCAGAAAACAATTAAATGATATACTTCCAAGATGGCGGTATACTTAAATGAGTCATGTCACTGTCAGTTTACGGGGTACATGTACAAAGTACCCCATTCTAGCCCACACGCCTGATTTAATAGCTGATTTAATCATCGTATATAGGCCTATGTATTAAAACATTGAGTACATCCTCATGTTGATATAGCTACATTAAGAGTTGACTGGTAAAGTTAGTTTGAATCCAAGGTACATTAAGGGGAATTCGTGCAAAGTGCATTCTAACATAACGACTTGTGCCTGTTTCAGATATGTTACATAATGCAGTTACGCTTTGTAACAGCAGGTCATCAGGGCTTTCAACGCGTCAGACGGCTCTTCAATCTGCGAGTATCTGCACTGCAGCATCCGGCGCAAAACCTTCTTGAACTGTGGATGCTTGGACGCGTAGATGATCGGGTTGACGCAGCTGTTGCAGGTGAAGACCACGCCCAGGAACAGCAGGTAGCGGTCGGTGTTGGGGATGAAGAGCGCCACACCGTACGGAGTGACGCAGACGACGAAAGCACAGACGGCCATGAAGAGATTCTTGGTGATCTGGAGCTGCTGGCGGTAGGCTCGACCCTGTTGGGAGGTCTTCAAGACAGCCGCGTTGTCGGATACCTGGAAGCTGCTTGAGCTAGAGACCGGGCCTGTGTCGCTGATGCTGATGCCACCACGCAAGGACCTCTGGGCCTTGAAGTGGCGCCGGACGTGTAAGTAGATGAGGGTGTAAGAGGTGACGATGATGATCAGTGGGATGGGGTAGGAGAGGAAGGTTTGGATCTTCTCGAAGGTCTTGGCCTTGGGATGGGTGTCCATGTCGCTGCAGCTGTGATGTTGCTCGTCGTAGCCGAAGCCGCCGACGCCACAGAGAGGTGGCACGACCATTGTGGCGATGGCAACGAACCACAAGACTGCCACGTTGATGGCCAAGTTGCGCCTGGTGTAGAGACTACGATAGAGGGTCATCGGGCGCTTGATGAGGATCAGCCTGTTGAGAGCGATGGAGGCCAGGTTGTAGAGACTAGCGCAGGAGCTGATGTACAGAAGCATGCCGGCCAGATAGCACGGTGTCTCGGTGGACCACGGCCAAGTGTCTCCTGGGCTTAGCAGGCCGACGGCGCTCATGGGTAGCGCCAGGCCGGTCAACAGATCGGCCACGCTGAGACTGACCACGAAGACGTTGGTGGACGTGCGGAGCTTCTTGCTGAACACCACGGCGAGGATGACCATGGTGTTACCGATGATATCAATCAGGGCGATCAGGAGCCACAATACGGCCATTGCTACCCTTTCTTGGTAGGTCTGTAGGGATTTACTCATCGGCCCTGCTTCGGTACTCGCTGCCGTGAAGGTTGAGTTGTCCATCCAGGGAACTGCCGACGAAGAGTCGTCAACACCTGCAGTTGAAGTATCGTTGGAAAATACCATCGTTGCGTCGCCCATTTTGCTCCTTGTTTTTGGATGTTATACAGAGCTGTGAGAATAGAGAGTGGAGTTTTGGGAAAGGAGTTTCAGGGTTACACTGCCTTTTACTTAAAATGTTGTGATAACGCGATGCAGTCAGTGGCGTATACAGCTTTTGATGTGGGGTGGGGGGGGGGACCGTACTTGCACATCCGCGCCAAAATGTAGACATGTTCTTTTTTTCCGGACACTTCCAAATGACCATTATTATGCATACTGGCAAATATATGCCGATTTTCACGGCGCATTGTAATGGTTTTGGAGCTTGTTTCTTTCTTTTTTTTCATGTCAGAACTCTATAACCATTAATAGAAATAGTTAGGCCTACTGACAAAAAAGTCATTCTAAAAATTCCGACGGGGGGGGGGGAACCCCCCCCCCCCGGATACGCCACTGTTTGCAGTTTAATATCAAATATCACGCGAAAGATGCTAATGTGTTTGTTTCACCACTGTCATGCCTAATAGCATTATTTCACATTTGGCATGATCTATTCGGAAAAAAAATTAGGTGAGAACCCCGATACGATTTCCATTGCATTGAGATTGGATTGCATTTCATGATTTGTATCTTTTACCACGACCAATCAAACAAACAAACATCCGCTAACTCGCTTCGATTACTACAGCCAAGTTGACGTTTCTTTGGGGTTTGAAAAGGAATCGCTTTACACACACCGATCAAGTTTCCATTGTTATACACAATAAGCGAAATTAATCCCAGCAAAAAAAAGCTACTCGGGAGACGCGACCTCTTCGAATGTCACTGTTGCAAAGCATTGTTTATGGCCAAAATTGCAGCACTCCCATTTTGGGGAACAATGTTTTTATCTATACTCTCGCGCTGTTCCAAGAAAGAAATGGTAACAGGACCGTCCAATTTGGGTAAAACATTACATGCAGTAATATATTTTCTGTTTATTTGGTTAATTCAGGTAAAATAAATATGATAATTTTGGGGAGAATTTGACCATATATATATAGGCAGTTCAAACCTGTATGTACAGGCAGTTCATACGCTGACTGATATCGGGCAACATACCAACTCATTCGCCTAAAATGTTTTTGAGAGAGGAAAACAAAGTGTTCCTTATCAATCATTTCTATGAAGGTATCGAAGGTATCATATCTATAAGGTAGCCTTATTCAACAACGCCTCGTTTATACCCGTCAAACAGTTCATTTCACAAATGCAGACCTAATGTGAACCAAAACAAACATGGTTTTGACTAAAATTTGACTTAAAACGTTGCACACTCACCGATTTTTGGAACCAGACGACAAAGATGTAGTTCCTGCTTCAGATAAAGCTTTCGAAATTACCAAGCAAAAAACCCAAAATGTGGTAAGGAGGTGTAGTAATTCTTCCACTTGTGTCTTCAACAGTAATAATGCGTTGTGGAGAGATGATTTTTTTTAACGAATACCATAATACGAGGCAAGCGCTGTGTACAGAGCGTATGCTGTGATCCTGCAACAACCAGGAATGCGGAACAACCCGTGTTCATTGGATCGTATGGGCTTACTATTATTCTTGGCAATGGCATTGCTCAGTCACACTGCGCGGTTGGATTGGGCGGTATATTGGGCTCTCGAGATCGCCCAACCTTCCTCTGGTTTTCGTCCAATCATTGGACGCAATTTCAATTCAATGCAATGTATGTTTCTGGATTTAGCGTCTGCACAAAGAATGTTTTATTTTTGTTCAATTAAAATGTGTTCGGATTGATTTTTTTCCGCGGTAAATACACTGTATTTTCTTTAAATCATATTCAAATTATTCTTGAACGATTCCCGTCAATTTTTAAATCTGTCGTGTTATAATTTCACGACCATTTATTGGATGAAATTTCAATTCAATGCAATGTGGTGTTTTTTTTTTAAGTTATTGTGTTTGATTTTTGTTCAAATGAATCGACTTGTGTTCGGATTAAATTTTTCGCGATTAATACACTGTATTTTCTTTAAGTCATATTACATTGATTCTTCAACGATTCCCGTCAATTTCTAAACATGTCGTGTCATATATCACGACCAATCATTGGACGATGCAATATACCATTCTTGAGTTGTCGTTTCCCCAAAGAGTGTTTAGTTGTATTCAATCAAAGCCAACTTCGGTTGCTGGGCAGATCGTGATCAGCGTTGACAGAAGTTTTTACCGTGGTGACCATATTTTGTATAGCGCGCCCTCTTTTGACAAAATTGCTGTTGACAATAATGCGGGAGAGCCCTTACACAATGGTTTTTGTTTCGTACCATACTTTCAATGGGGGCACTGTTCAAATTCGACGATTATTAACGTTATATCACAGAATAATGTAAAATATACCCCCTAACCAAGCTGGCTCAGTACGTATTTTGTGCAAGGCGGACATTATTACTAGCAAATAAAAAATGGGTGTCGGAGCGAGGGGGGGGGGGGGGGTTGTTTCGCAATTCCTTTTCATGGATTTCTATGGGTTACCCCCCCCCCCCCTTGGATCCGCGCCTGCATTATCCGGGGTACAGTGTTCAATGGCTAAATAGAGGAGCAACTGCTCAAGAATATAACACACCAATCTCAAGATATGTCCTCACAGGCATATCATAATCCTGGGAGACAATTTGTGACAAAGTGTCTTGCCTATAAATGACACGTCATTCTCCTCAAAGGTTCTCTGAAAATATTCCTCAATTATTACAAACCCAGAGGTCACGGCACCCTATACATATCGATCTATAACTATATAGCGGGACTTTTGTTTCAAGAGTGAATCAAACAGAAAGTCACCGATTTAGAACAAACATTTATAACTAAATATGTTGATTGCTCCATTTCATAAAAAAAGCATAGGGATGAAGTACATGTTATTGACTAGTAACTGTGAAACATTCACGTAACTTGCATACTTTATTCTTAAGTTATGTATATTTTAATACATAGGCCTAGAACACAAAATTCAGCTGTCCACCACTGATCATTTACCGTTCTATACGAATGGATGAATACCCATTAAATACAATGAAACATGGTCGTTTTCCCACCTCTATGAATGAACGAAAACCATAGGTGGGTCCTATAGCTCTATAAACAGACACAAATCGCCATCAATATTTCACAGAAAACAAACTTGACTTGTTCCTCATATTCAAATCGCAAAATCGGACAGTGTTTCAGTCTGGACTCAAATGATTAAAATCTCATTCGTATTTGAATGCCTGTGTAATCTGTAATTCTCAATAAGCTCAATAGCTTCCAATGGTATTACAGGGACAGCTATGAAAACAGGTTATTTTAGTCAAACATGCATAACTTCTGACGTATAGCATGGATCAATTTCAGTGGGTTTTTTTCTCTTCAGATAAGTGGATGAACATCCTCTTTTATGTCATTCTTCATTGGTTCATCAAATTCAATTGCTTTTTTAAGAAAAAAGGAAGAACTTAATCCAGGTCACTTTTCGTTTGACTCACCCTTGTATTTGTCGAATCCGTCAATAATTGAACTCTAGCACAAAACGACACAGTCATTCATTTTTTTTACAGAGTGCAATTTCATATTTTAATCAGAATTATACCAGATAATGCTTTAAAAAAACCCGTGCTGTAAATGTGTTTTTAGTGCAGCCAGATTAGCCCTTATCTCATAATATTCTTATCCACCCCTCCTCACACATTCACCCATTTGTGTCAGGTCGAATCCGTATAACACGACACAATTCTTCTTTTTACCAAGGTCAATTTTCATATTTTAATCAGACTTATAACTTAGATAATGTTTTTTTTAATTGTTATGTAAATCTGTGTGTTTATAACCCTCGTACATATAAGTTATAATTATTTTTATATAATCCTTTTCCTGCTCCCTTTCTACCCACTAGCCAGACCTGGCTTGCCATTGTTTCCTTTCCATTAATGTGCCATATGCTTTTTATCATTATACATATAGTTCCATCAATCCAGACATGTTGTTTATTTATTTACTTAACTAGGCTGAATGTGTTTGTTTAATTGTGGTTACGTTCACTCTTGCCAGTTTTTTTATGCTGTTATGTCTATTTGTACAATGTATGTAAATGTTTATATGGTTTTAAAGTGTTTTTTTTTTAATAAAGAACGAGGAGACAAGTTTCATGTTTTACATGATGAGAATAAATTGAATTGAATTGAATTGAATATGCACTTTGCCTTTTTTTTCCCGACCCATCTGGAATTGTATAGGTTCGAAATCCAAGGATGAACACAGGAAATACCCTGCCGTCTCTATTTTCACAGTCAAACATTTTTTTAATTTTTTTTTTTTTATTTTTTTATTTACCCAACTCTTGGAGCAGAACAGTCGATGAGAATGATTATTAAAACACACTTCCTGATTTAATGCTGGAAGTCATATCACGATAATACGTAGTTTTGCTGTGTCTTCCATGCATTTGCAGATACAGGGTGAGTTCAAAAAAGCGGAAACCAAACCCCATAAAATATATTTCATGTTTGAAAAAAAAATATTTAGCACCCAAAAATAACAATGACTGGAAAGCTAATTTCATTAGCTACTTTTAGATAAAAACATTACTGAAATTGCTCAATCCGTGCAAAGAAAATCACATAAAGAATTACCCTAAAATCTGTCTCGTCAAAATAAAAGCAATTTATTGTGTGTTTTGACAAAGAAACTAAATGACACAGATTACTTGTTTCAACAACTGTAGAACACAATATCTTTATTAACAACCCTGGTAAGGCAAACAATATGATTTATAAAATCTATTTTTCTCAAAGGACGGGCCTTCAAAAGGATGGAATATTTTTAACGTTTAAACTGAGGTTTTATCGCTGGTGATGTTTGAAGACATTTGCGACGAGATTCTTGAAATCACGTTTTTTTTTGGACGAGACAGGTTTTAGGGTCATTGTGTTTAAATGGTGTTTTCTTCTGAACAGATTGACCAATTTCAATCAATTTTTCAACTAAAAGTACCTAATGAAATTGGCTTTCCAGTCATTATTATTTTTTGTGCTACATAATATTTTTAAATATGAAATAAAATTTTTGGTGTATGGGTTCCGCTTTTTTTTTACTCACCCTGTATTTGTCAAGTGCGCCAATCTTCATCATCGAAATTTTAACCGAGAAGACCGAACGCGATCAACAGCGAGAAAGGGCGGTAACTGAAGGTAGAACTCTGTTATTCGGAGACAATTGATTCATCATCTTCAAAAAGGAACTGGTTCGAAACTCTCAACGCCAGCAAGCTCCGTGTTATTGGACCAACAAAAATCGAATCGGGTGTCCGACTGAAGGTTGTAATTTTAAAATATCGCCTCCTTGGGTTAGTTAGGTTTGTCACGTGGCATATAAATTAGTCGTTGGGTGCGTCACGAAGTGACGCATAGGACAGCTTCTGCAGCAACCACTAAGTGTACGTCTATGGACTTTGTGCACCCGACCAGTGGCGCACCCAGGATTGGGGGGGGGGGGAGGTTTTTTTGGGGGGGCTCAAACTTTATTCAAAAAGTGTTGCCCAAAATTTTTGGCCGCAGAAAAAAAATGTGAGTCTTTTTTTCGTGGGCTGACTATTTTGACGTTGGTGGCGCCACTTACACCCCTATTATACTACTCGAAAATAAGCCACATACATGTCACCAAGGTAAAATCGTGGGACTAAAAAAAAAAATTACCAAAACCCCCCCCAAAAAAACCCCCAAAAAACAACCTCTTGGAAGGGGGGGGGGGGGCTCAAGACCCCCGAGGGCCTCCCCCCCCCCCCGGGTGCGCCACTGCACGACACTTATGTCACTTCGTGTGCGGCAACGGAGCCCCCCCCCCCCCCCCCCGTGCGCCACTGCACACGACACTTATGTCACTTCGTGGTGCGGCAACTATCCACGACATTATCCATGACATGTCACTTATAGTGGAGTGGCAACTATCCACGACATGTCACTTCGTTGTTCGGCAACTATCCACGATAACTATTTCATTTTGTGTGCGGCAACTATCCACGACACATATTTGCCCTCAAAGGTTTATACCACGTGATCAGAAAAAAAAAAGATATTCTTCCCAGATGGCGGTACACTTGTCAGAGTCATGTCACTGTCAATTTACTGGGTATATAACAAATTACTCCATTCTAGCCCACAGGCCTGATTTAAGAGCTGTTGAGAACAGCCTATCGAGTATTAATTAGGCCTATGGAGTATAGGCCTATGTTGTAAAGCATTGAGTACATCCTCATGTTGATATAGCTACATTAAATGTTGACTGGTATAGTTAGTTTGGATCAAAAGTACACAGATAGGCCTATGCCTTTCGATAGGATTGTATGCTACATCAGTTACGCTTTGTAACAACAGGTCATCAGGGCTTTCAACGTGTCAGAAGGCTCTTCAATCTGCGAGTACCTGCACTGCAGCATCTGGCGCAAAACCTTCTTGAACTGTGGATGCTTGGACGCGTAGATGATCGGGTTGACGCAGCTGTTGCAGGTGAAGACCACGCCCAGGAACAACAGGTAGCGGTCGGTAT